AAGGCAGAGTGCTGGCACTCAATGAGTTAAATTAAATTATTATTGACATTATTATAATAATTGTTTTGTAATACATTATATATGACATAATAATTGTTTTGTAATATAGTATATGCTTTTACTTAATATGCACTTTTAGACAATATGAAATATAGTCCACCAAAATTAAATATAAAAAAATGCATGTGGGTTTTGGGAGGGGGGGGAGGAGCCTGCCTTCAGAGCTGCAGGTAACTGACAATAGCATGGTCCTGGGTAGAACCCTGAAAACGTAGGCCAATTTATTTATTTATTTTATTTTACAAGTTTGCCATTGCAATAGATCTATATAGAGTACTATGGTTAGTTGGTTACAAATGACTGGAATTTCCACACAGAGATAGTTCTCCAATAACGGGGTTCCAAAAAAGAACAACTAATGGTATATCTAATTATTTTGAAATTAAAGCAAACATAACAATTAAACACAAATACAAGAAGACAAAGCAAACGTATTGACGAACAAACGAACAAAAACTAAATTTAGCAACACGTTCGAGTTGATAAGTTCATTAGTGGGCGAGTGGTGTGACATTTAATGCACACAGACTTAAATGTTCTTGGATCTTCAGGGTCATAAATTTGTTGGGTTAATTCTACGTAGTACGTATTTCATTAGATTACATTTAAATGTAGTTAGAGATGTGGTAGTATTTCTTATGAAGCCGGGAAGCGTGTTCCATACATTAGCAGCTCTGATTTAAAAGCTGTTTTGAAAAGAAACAGTTTTACTTTTGGTTACATGAAGTAGGATGCCGTTAGTTGAACTAGTATTCCTTGTTTCTCGTGTAGGGATCTTTATAGATATGTTATTGTTAGAGTTATTTATAAGGCATTTGTGAAGATACACCATATCTAAATACTCATGCCAGTAACATAGAGGGATGATTCCGATGGTAGCCAATCGATTCTTATACGGGATAGATGTTTTGTACGGGAGCGAAAGAATAAATTTTGATGCACGTCGCTGCAACCGTTCGATCGTTAGGATGTTGTTGACAGTTTGGGGTGCCCACACTTGACTACTGTAAGCTACAATCCTGGACAAAACCACCTGCGACACTCTGTTAAAACATTCCTTTGTGGCTTTTTTACCAGTTAGACCGGAATAATTTACTCGTTTGCCCCCCTCCAACCCCCAAAACAATGTTGGACGTTTTATCCGTATTCCATGAATGCAATCAACATTGAATGGTGGGGGAAAGGGGGAGGTTTTCTAAATTGACGATAATATTACGACATTTTGTCAAGTAATTGGAAGTGTCGCAGATGTTTTGTCCAGGATCGTCTGAAATGAGTCGAAACTATATTATTTTATATTTCGCTTTTTATACATGTCCTTGCCATGTATTTCGTTTACGCGCATTGCTTATGACCTACTTATATTGATAGGTTATACATTCAGTCTATACATAAACGCCAATGCGTGTGATATAAGTAGAACTAAGGGACAATAAATTCAATATAGTTACGTTTCTGGTGTTTACTGCATATATTTAGAATATTAAGTGACAACTATATATATAAATGTGAATTATGCATTTTGACACAAGTTTTCCAGGTGTGGTCAATCAATGCTCAATTTTTCAGTGTCACACCTAACGGTGTACCACAACCAATGCACTAAGACTGTGATAATATTCCCAGTTATAGGGGTAATACAAACCAATGATATGGACTTGAAAGAACGTGGGTTGCTTAGTATTCCAACCAACTTCAGACAATATTTAGCGCGATAATTTTAAAATATTCCACGGTGTATATATATATATATATATATTCTTATATGTTCACGCTGTACCGTGGTACACCGTCAATGCGCATGCGCTATTAATTATACGACAATAACAAAATTGGATTAGTCATTTAGCGCGGCGGTCACGCAATATATTTCAGTCAACAGCTACGCGTTTGTCTGTCTAACAACACAAATAAATATGTATTAACGTATTTTAGAATATTCTTAGTGCAAAATAGTTGTATATACACTACTAAGTACATTGACTTGCTCTCCGACGTATATTAAATGCGTTAAAGTCGTCGCATATGATTCTTAATCGCATTCTATACAAGCTATCGAAGCATAGCGTTGCATGAGGGTGTTATATTACCTTGTCGACCATGAGGTATTTGCTTCTTGAAGCCTAATACATTCTAGTTGGACATATTTACTACGGAAAGAGAAAGTCCTGCATAAAACTCAATTTTTAATGCGCAATGGCTTGGTTATTTAATTTGAAAGATACAGACAATCCTGGACAAAACCATGGAGTTTTGAAACAAATAGATGTGCAGAAATACATGGTGTAAGCTATCTAGCTTTGGACAACTGGCCCCTAGCTGGTGTTTAATAGACAGAGTATAATAATGAAATAGGGCACGTTAAGGTGCAATGCAACTTAGTGGATTAACTAGACATGTGGGCAGATGTAGTCTGATTCTGCATCGCAGGTTAGCCTATAATACAGCCTTTTACTCATCAAGGAAAACTGTTGTACATTCCACTCCAGAAGTGCATATGACAATGAAATTTTTTATTTTCTTAAATGAAAGAACTCTTTAAGCTGTAGTGTAACTTATATTTCAGTTTCTTGTTTTTATGGTGATTTCCCGAGATATTTCAATTTGTTTGATATGTAAATGAGTGTGAATATGTCCACTAATTTATGACGCCACGTTGGTTGCAGGCTCCTTAAAATGGTTGAATATCTCTGCTATCATCCAAGTAATAATTTCGAACTTCACTCACTGGTAAATGTGATGAAATACAGGACAAAAACGTAAACTGATATCTACAGTTCAGTAGAGTTAATAGATTTTTAATCAGTATAAGTTGAGCTTGCAACCAACGTGACGTCATAAATTAGCGGACATATTCACACTCATTTACATATCAAACAAATTGAAATATCTCTGGAACAAACCATAAAAACAAGAAACTGAAAAATAAGTTACACCACAGCTTAAAGAGTTCTTTCATTCAAGAAAATAAAAAATTTCATGTCTTATGCACTTTAATTAAGTCAATATCAATACAGACTTAGAGCAAAATAACTACAAACACTATGTTTTATAAAGAGTTGCGTTTATTTATTCGAAAGCAGTGAATGCTTTATAATTATGAAGAATAATTTTGTCAGGGTTTATTCTGTAGTACTAGTGATTGACTGATAATCTGTATCGGGCTGAGTTTTTCCTTATCGGTAGACAATCGTAACCGGTAGAATTATCTGTATTTCCGATTGGGTAAAACCGATTGTTGAGTAAGAAAAATACGCACTTCACAAATTGACCTATATAGTGTGTGCCGATTGCCGAAGATTAATAGCACATCAAGTCCTCCAAGACATGTTGCCACGACGAAATTAATGAATGAAGCGTGCCATTTATGAAAGGTTTTAACGTGCCATTTATGAACTTTGGTTGCAGTAATACATATGCTACGTTAAAAAATCGAAAATTTCACGGACATTATGACGTCATTATAGCATCGGTGTCGAGTGGATTGTTGCGCATTGGTTATTCGACCTAACCAGCAGCAGTTGCGAAAAATGGGCCCCCTGGCAGAAATCGTACCTGCGGCCTTGCGATTCAGGTGCAACGCTCTAACCAACTGACCTTGATGCCAATGTACGGTGTATGGATAAATACAGGTATCAGGAAAAATACCACTCGAAATTTTCATCCACAGTATACACATTCCTTCAACAATTAGTTATATCGAGTGACATGCCCAAAATCCTAGATTGTTGCATTCCGAATAATTCGTAATTTCCGATTGTGGCACATTTGGTCAATCACTTGTAGTAGTACTATATGCACTAGAGGTGTGCATCGGATCGGATTGGACGTTTATAATCCGACAATTGGCTAATGTTTAAAATCCGATCCGATATTGTGTAATCCGAATCCGATCCGAGTTTCGATAAAGGATTCCAATCCGATCCGATCCGAAGAATTCTTTAATTAAATAAAGTAAATTTCTCATTCAAGTTGAAATATTTAACCAAATAAATATAAAAGCAAGAAATACATGTCAAGAAGCTGACAAAATGACGTCCAATTGAAGTATCAAACGAATAATGCAGCGACAACCGCGATAATGCTTTGATAAATGCATGGATAATTAATTCTTGCGATAATGCGTGGATAATTAATTCATTTTATTTCGGATATCGAAGTCCGATCCGATTCGACTACGAAACAACTTTATCAATCCGATCCGAAATGAATATTTTGGTTCCGAAATCCGAACGAATCGGTTTCGGATCGGATTTGCAGACCTCTAATACTGTATGCACTGATAAGACTGTATAAACATGCACTTAATGTAGCCTCCTTCAGAGGCATCTCTACAGGGTTGGGGTTCAATTCGGGGAAAAAACTAATGCCAAACCGCGCATGTTTTCTCTTCTTCATGTTTTCTCGAAAAAATGTGTCTTGTTTTTGTGTCAAAACCCTGGTCAAAACATCAGCAATGCGACTACATTCCTACGCCTATTGCTGTCAAATTGGCAAACTGTTATTAGCTAATTTAGCACAACATCCCGCACACCAATCAAATGTCGCCATTTCGAAATTGTCGATTTCACGACGTTAGGAATATACAGTAGTCGCAATCCTGAGTGTTTTAACACGTTAAACATGACACATTTTTGGGTGAGAGGAAAGGTCCGCGCTTTTGGTAATAAGAGTTGCCTGCAGAGAACCTTTTCGTCACATTTCTCTAAGGATGATACGTTTTACACAACAGAGTTTATGTCAAAATGATGCGTTGCAAGTTGCACCCCAAATTGCTACGCGTAACATGGTCTTTGAAAACACGAAAATCTGTGGGACAAGTGAACATTAGTGATTAAATTTTGACAAAGTGATTAACTGAATCGTAGTCTTTCGAGACATGGTCTGGAAACTCAGTAAACTTCAAAGCGGTTTTAATGAGCTGAGATTTTATGTTGAGCCGTACCTTACACCGTGCACATCCTTTGTTTTAGGCTTATTAATATTTAAATAGCATGGTTGAATGACTGAACTGAAACGCTGCTATTGGATGATTCGTTCATTGTACTGAAATACAATGTGTTCATTGACCGTGGACCGTGCACAAAACTGCGTAAACGCAAACAAAAAGATAGAACAAAGACTTTAGCAGAGTTTTCAAACCATATTTTGAAAGACTATGACTGAATGCGTAATTATCCCATTGTGTATTTTGTCCTTTGATCCATACATTTCACACTATTTTTTGCAATACATCGTTCTGCATGCCTATTTTAGTGGAAGGAAAATTATAGATTTCATTGTTTTGAGGGGGATATGTTGACAAGTATACATCAACTAAGCCCTTTATGCAACTTACGTTCTGATGAACATGAAAAGGGAGAGGAGGCGGGAGAATAAAAGGAAGGAGTAGGGTATAGCGCCTCCAGGAAAGGCCTCGTATATTATTGTATATATTTGCATCTGCATGAGTCTCATACTGTACTCTGCATGTATATAGAGAAATATGCCTTTCATGCAGACACTTGTTCTCCCCCCCTTCCTTTTCTCTCACCTTTTCTTGGCTTCTCACCCCTCTTCATGTTGCGTTGCAGGCTACATTCCGGCAATATTGCACTTGCATGCTATTTATTATTCGTGTGTGTTACTTATTATTCACTTTCTATTTGTTATTCTAGATATTTGGCAAATGATGGAATCATAGAAAAGGTGAGTACGAATTTTTCTATTAAAGGTCCTCTCCTCTTTGGCAGTAACCTTGTTACAAACGTTTGCTTTCAAGAAATATTATCTATATACACACGCCAACTAGTGGCAGCTTGCCATGGCAACTTGTTCTGCTATGTTGACAAACCTGTACCTAATACATTTCTAAAGTTTGAGTAATGCAAATCATTAAAAATTCGCATAGCATGACATGTTGCTATGGCTATAGCTTCACCATGATACACGTCAACCTGTTGGAATACAGGGGCCGGTTGTTCAAAAGCCGATTAGCTTAACCCTATAGGTTAACCTAAAATTCAAAGCCAACTTCCCAACAGCTTCGTTACAAACTTGGAAATATTTGTCTGGACCAATAAGAGTTTTCTTCTGTCAAGTTTTAAAACAGATGGATGTGCAGAAATACATAAACTAAAACAGTAGGTTAAATTTTAACCCAGGATTAGCGCTAATCCAGTTTTGAACAACCGGGCCCAGTTGTATATATATACGACCTTAAACATGCATTTTCAATCCACTGATTTTGATAGTTTTTTTTTTAACCTCAATTTTACGCATTAGTTGGATAATGCTTGTAATACACTTGCAATATATAGATGTTCTCAACGCAGTGTTCATAAAAATTCTAGTTTTGCAGTGAATTCTACTAAATTAATAAGCAATAACGTTCGTTTCCCTCTCGGAGCTGACCATAGTTTGCGGAGAAAGTTCTAAAATTGAATGGTTAACTAATTTACTGTACATTCGTTCTGCGAGCATGAGTACCGAAGTCGGTGATCAACTATTTTTCTTGTATTAAAGCAGTCCTAAATACCTTACTTGAATTTAAATTTGCGCGTACTAATTTTGCGCACCACAGAAGCGACAATTCTGCGTTACTGCATGTATCTTGAAAAGGAATAACGCTGGAAGATGACACTTAAATTATGGATTTCCGTCGATAAAATGACATTGGGTATTTCAATTTTTAAGAAAGCATGCAAATGTGAAAATGTTCAAGCTATCATAACTCGAAAAGTCCCAAGGAAAGATTAACAACAACCTCGTTTCCAGGCTCTTTCCTTTCCGGTCCGATCTCGGATTAGCAGTACGTTTTTGTATTTTTTAATTTCGCACGTCTACAGTATGGTCTATTCGAGTTCTATATAATTCTGCGCGAATGCATAAGGTATTTGACTGTTTGCAGTAATCATTGTGAAGAATCATGTTGGTAATAATTCATTAGAACGTAAGTTTACAGTAGCTTGATTGTGTATGAAAATTTAGAGTGTTTTCGGAATTCCGTATTCGACGCATCTTCCGATAACATTTCACTCAGTGAAGTCGTTCGTAGGTCGTAGTCGTTCGGAAGTCGTTCAGGGAAGTCGTTCGTAAGAGCTGTAGAGTCTTGACAGGTTTGTCATTAAACAGTGGCAGAAGCGAAGCAGGATGCGAACAACCAAAGACATAAATCCCAATGAAATTATCACGAGAAAGACGGCGGGTAAGAAACCCAGCACAATAATTTCAAACCAATCATAAGCCTGAAAAATCTGTACCAAGTCCCCTTTGACGTGTGCCTCTACGCCAACATATACAGATTTGTGCATATTTATTAACCCAAGAGTAATCAAAACTAGCAAGGAGACAGACTCGAGGGAATTTGCGAATGGATTCTGAAAGGGTTTTACGGATACATGATGGAATAAGACGAGAACGTTAAACAATGTCATGAAGAATAACCGTAGAGTTGGATCAGGGATGAAAGTATATGATAATACCAAGACAAAACGTCGAGCTATCATGATACTTTGCCAATAGACAGCTCCATTATCTGTGTTCGAAAGCTTCCGAAAAGGCCCCGAAAGCACAAGCTTCATTGCATCTAAGGACGCACTAGGTTGTTGTGCTTCATTTTCATTTCGGCGAAAGGATTTGACGGCTTGTAAACCCAGCGAAACAACAGTGGTAGTGGAAATAGTGTTGAGAGGAGTAATTCCCGGGTCGTTAGTTTTCCGTTTTGGACTTTCAGTGAAGCCCAAGCCAGGGTTAACATAAATGGAACTACGAAGACAAGATTAAACACGAGTGCCATGTATTGCCACCACTGGAAGCATTCAACATTTCCATTGTAAAACCATCTGGTTTCTGAACCAATAGACACGCAACGAACTAGAGAGAAAGCAACATTAGCTATTGCTGCGTACCCGAGTAACAACGTTTCTATGGTGGCGGCAAGATACGGCGGAAGAAAAGAGGTTTGGGGAGATGGTCGTCTTCGACGTATAAGAGAAATAGTACAGCGAATTCCAAAAATTATCCAAATGGCGACCAGTGTAGCAAAGACAGGTGAAATTTCAAAAATCTTTTTCGTCAAAGGTGTAAGGCCGGGAAATGGACATGTTAAGCCCAGTCCAGAGGTGTTAGGTCGAAAATTGAACAATGCTACAACGGTTGTTACGAATTTCGTACTTAGCAACTGCTCAAGCCAGTAAGAATTAAGAAGCAAGTATGCGATCTGGTAGTAATAAAAGATAATTTCTAAAAATCCAGAGGTTTGATTTTGCTCGTTTCTTATTTCCTGAGTGGGAGGCAGAGAGGTAGATTCTTCAGATTGTTCGCTAATATCCCTTGTGCTTTGTTGTTCATCTTCATTTGTTGTAAAGGTGTTTGAACTGTCCTGATTATTTGAGTCCGTACGAGTAGAAACAGACCTCCTAAACCATAAAGTTTGATTTATCACAAATTCAGGCGCAGGAATTTTAAAAACAAGAAAAGAGGCCAAAATAAAAACCAACGCGCAAAAGCCACCCAAAACCAGTGGTCGTTACAATCCTCAGCCAAATGACATTTTGTAGAAAAGAGTTCTTCGGTGTATTCATCAGAGCAGGAACCGCACATCACACCTGTACGATGTCCGTGGCATTTGTTGTATTCTTTAGTATTGCGATCTGGTGATTTGCAGTACCCAACGGGGCAAAACGTGAACGCTAATGTTGGTGGATAGTATGATTCAAAATATCCCCAAAAATTTGGTTTTGATTTAATTGTTGGAAGACAATCAGCACCCCGTGGACAAGAATTGCACTTAAAATTATTCATCTCTTCAAGACCTTTGATGTTTCCTCTTTGTAATGAGTAATATTTGGACTCACATTGCTTGCACGACAAACGTAGGGAACGAAATCGTCTGTTGCAAAGTGGACTTTCCCATTTTGTAAATGATGCGTCTGTTTTGGTAATGTTCGAACCCACAGCACACGACACGGATGTAAATTTGTCAAGATCAATATCACCACCTAGACTGACCACAATGAGAGGGTGATCATCAAATATGATACGCTGATCAAACGTTGAATTTCGAATGTTTAGCGGACCACCGCTAAACGTTTGTATGAAGGACGTAAATTGAAACTCGATTTTGTTTGCTAAAACGCTGCCGGATGTTTGACGGAAAATAGTGTTGTGTATGGTAAGGTTGTTCGAACCATCAGTGCTGAGATGACCTGCTTGAGCCAAGGCAAAGTTGTTCACAAACCAGCAGTTATTGAGGACCATTTCACCATTTATCACGAATAAAGCACTTCCACTAAATGCAATGTTGCCAATGAACGTAACATTTTGAAAACTTGCCCTGTTTAAGCAAGTCCATGAACGTTGATGTACGGGGGTGACTGGATCCAGGCAACCGGAGTCTTGTATTTGGTCCTCTGCCATAACCAGAGCTATAGCTCCCCCTAAATCATTCAATGCGGTATTGTTCATGAACAATGTGTTGGTAACATTGAATGTGGTTGAGTTACTCGTTTCGATATACACAGCACCTCCTTGATTGGCACTGCATATGTTGTTCATGAATGATGTATTCATAAAACTAATTGTTGAATTGGTTACAGAGAGGAACACAGCCCCACCATAAGCAGTGTAGAATGGGTTGTACACTATTACATGAATGTTTATTTTCAAGTTGAACACTTCGTTACTTTTAAATACTGAATCTTTGCAAATGAGCATTATTTGGCTATGCTGAGGAACAGCCACAGCTCCGCCATATGTAGCAGAATTATTCTCAAATGTACAGTTAACGATATAAACGTTTGCAAAGTGCTTTGGATTGATTCCAATGAAAATAGCTCCTCCATGTGAACCTATTGCCTTGTTTTGTATAAAAACAGAGCTGTTTAAAACCATAGTGGATTCGTTTGACCAAAATACAACGTTGATTGCTCCACCGCTACCTCCTAGAGCCACATTATTGCCGATAAAACTACTCTCGGTGACAATGAATTTGAATAAAGACGCATTTATATTTTGAGCATAAATAGCACCTCCAGCAAAAGCTCGATTTCTTACGAACGAAACATTATGAAGGTTCACGACAGTGACATCACTTGTATCAAAATATATCACACCACGAGCTGCTTGATTTTGCCGAGCTGCTTGATTTTGAAGAAATAAAGTATCCGTAAAATCTAAAGATAAGTATGATTTCTTAAGAGACGAGTGGTCGTATAGGCAAATGGTTGATCCGTCCATTTTTGATTTATTTTTCACAAATGAAACATTGTGGAATGTTAACGTTGTAATGTCTCTAGAGGATGCAAATAAAACTCCGCCGCGGGCATCAGCTTGGTTAAAATGAAACTGAGTATCACTTGTAAAGAAAGTCAACTGGCTTCCTAACAATAGCTGTGCTGTATCTACTTCTTCGATGTGAAATACCCCTCCATTACCATTGGTAGTAACATGACCTACAAAAGAACTTTGAATTGTTATATTAACATTCAACGCGTCAACATAGGCAATTCCACCATTGATATCCGTTGTTATTTCACCCTTGTTTATAAAACAATCTTGAATAAATAAATAGCATGTCTTCAATGCGTTGATGGAAAATACCCCTCCGTTATGAAAGTCTTTCTCTAGTATGGTAAAATTTCGGAATGTAGTATTGTGAACCGAAATATGGCTGGATTTTCCCATAGAGTAAAGAAAACGTGCAGACTTGCTTTTTACAACGTGTGACGAGCGTACTGTAGCGAAGAGAATGGAGGATTTTAGGAAAAACAAGTTGTTTGTTTGCGATGTAGTTTCGTGCAATCCGTTATTTTCGAACTGACTGTGTTGAACTGAAACATTGCATTCCCCAAGTTCGTTTTCCACATGAATCAAATCACCATGTCTTTCGTTAGTTGACTTAGTTTGAAGAAAATTCCCAACGAAACTGCTGTTGTTTATTGTAATCTCAATCTTATCATTGCTACCGTTAAAGAAAAAAATTGAATCCTGTCCTCTGAAGATATTTAGGTTTTTCAATCCATTTGATTTTATGTTAGAGTTGGTTATGCTAACGAATATTTTGTTTCGCTTATTCGTTTTGCTTGTCAGTAGCAAACACGCTTTATTTTGTTCGAACACGACACTGTCCAATGAAAGTTTGAAGCGAGGTTGATTAACAAGCGAGATACTAATCGCCGTTGCTTCTGTCCTGTTGAACACACAATCTTTAACATATAACGAAGCATCAAGTAGTTGAACGGAGGTGTTCTGGAAGGCAAGGTTGTTAAACAGCACACGAAGTTTATTTTTGTTTACCGCCCCAGCTCCATTCACTAACCAGTTGTTGCCATGGTCACATGAAATATGCGCAGGTGAATTGATCCCGATAACTGATACACTTTTTTCCAGCAATACTCCGGAATGTTTTGCATCAAAAGATTCGCAAGTATATGGAGACGATGCTGTTCCTGTGCCGTCGACGTAAACCGTTGAACCTTCACGGGCTTGTTGTAACGCATACGATATCGAGCGATATGGTTTCGAGTGCGAACCAAACCCATC